AGATAATGCAATGCATTTGATTCACTGTTATTAGCCAAACTGACCGAAAGCTATGTTTCAAAGGAAGCTAATGAAGCTAGGTGGCTTACTAACACATTTCAGCCTTGGGACTGCTGAACTCATATGCTCAGGAATAAATCTGCAGGTCTTTTGTCTCACCATCACACAGCACAAGACTCTGAACTCCAGTCAACACAGACATCAAGAAGAGCTAACTGATGTCTCAACTTGCACCATTTTTTCTCCCTCATTTTTTTTGTAAGTAGACTTTAATGTTTAATCACTTAGAAGCTAAGCTCCTAAATCTCATTGCTCAGCCAGAAGACCTTACTAAGGTTTATTCCCCTTGAATTTTGGAAACTGGTGCTGGTGGAGTGGTCAGTTTCAATCTTGAAAGCAGGAAGTTGTCTGAAAGGGTCCTGCTCAGTAGCACAGCATTACCCTGTGCTCACAGTGGAGCAGTACACCTCATGCTTTCCTCACAGCAGTGCCACAGGCTATCAAAACCCATGAGGTCTTACCATGCTTGAGATGTGATAGGAAAAGCATTTTTCAGTCTGTAAGACCATTTGAGAAATATAAGAATGCAGTAATACTCTGATGTGGGAGGGAGAATGGATAGAGTCATTGTAACCCCCAGGTTACATGCTGCTGCCCTGCCAAGGGGGCCATGACTGTCTTCAGGTTGGGTCTTGCCATCTGCTCTCTTTAGTTACATGCATTGGGCCAGTGGCCTCTCAAATGCCTAGGGCTATCTCGCCTCTCATATCAGTACTGGTGGCTCTCTACCCTGACAAGAGGCCAGTTCCCAGTGCTCAGCAGGTGCTGGAAGAAAACCCATAGAGCAAAGAGTTGAGGGAGAGCAGGAGCAATGGAGGGAGTGTGGTGGCATGCACTGTTGGAGAGACCTTATAACCAAAGCACTTTTTTGAGTGTGTGTGTGTGTGTGTGTGGTAAGCGATGTTTGCAAAAACAAAATCTTGGAACTCTACTCATGACTGCAATGTTATCTAGTATGTCACAACTATTTGAAACTGCGAGTTAAGTTTAGGAGTGATTCTTAAGATAGATTTCTTGTTCTACACATCAGGTTCATGTGCCAACCATTGGACATTTCTAACTTCTCCAGCAGGAATCTGGACTCAGTCACTTTCAAGAGGCAGAGCACAGTTACACTTCATTTTGCACAGAACTGTGCTACTCAGCATATTGTATAGGGTTTGGGTTTTTTTAAAAAAGGACAATTCTGATTGTGCAAAACTGCTTCTGAGGATTTTTTTTTTTGTTTGATTTTTGCTTGAGACCACTTGCAATCTCATCTCTTGGAATTTTTCTGGAGGCTAGATGTCTGTCTTTTGAGACAGTAATGTAGCACAAGATCTTTCAGGTTTTGTCCTCACTTCTATTACAGTTTCTTTGTTTAGAAGAAACTGTTTTTTGTTCTTCTTTAGTTCTTTGTTAAAAAAAAATCTTGATATATTTTCATGTGGTGACCAGCCCTCATATTTCCGAAATAGTTCAACAACTTCTCCGTATGAGGTGATAGATAGTATTAAACAGTGTGTCACTACTGTTGTCAGGAAATATAATTGCACAATCTCTTACTTTTCATTGATATCCATGACTTTCAGACCTGGAGTGAGGCTTTACTTAAACCTCTTCTAAGTTCTGAAGCCTGTAGCTGGTCAATTCACCTACCTGAATGTTTTAACTTCATTATTATTCCTGGTGCCATATGATGTTTGATCATTTATCTGGATGGGACATACTCTTCCACTCAGAGATCTGCTTTGTTGTAAATACCTACTACAACATGTGGCTCCTCTTTAGACTCAAGATACTTTGAAATGCAGGCTTGGAAGGCAATGAGAGGTCAGAATAGGTATAATTTTAAAGTAGAACCTTCTACTCTAACTAAAAGCTTGTTGCTTGCTTCATGTATAATTGGAAAGTCTAGATTCTCCTAAATATTTGAAGATACTAATGGGTTTAAGTGAATCTGGATGCAAGGGAAGATAGCATAAAGCATTTTACACTTCATATGATCTGGTGACTTTCCATGTTAGATTGCAACAGGTTCATGTCTGTGGCTTATGTTTTTTTCTTGCACTGCAGCTGTTCTCCATATCCTCCATTATGCAGAAAAGCTCTGCAGTCCTCTGCAGGAGAATGCTCTCCATATAAAAGCCTGAAAGTTATTGACCTAGTGGAGCTTCAACTGTATCACTCTAATAAAGTCTATTATAAAGCAGTACAATCATGCCAATTCTGGCAGCTGCCTCCATTTTAGCCTTCTCAGAGCATGTCTACACACCCTAGCCCAGACTATGCTGCACCTGCTCCATCCATGTGCTGTACTGCCCAGCTGCGAGCAATTCTTGGCAAGGACTCAAGCGCCTGCATTAGGCTTGGTGCTATGCTAAGCTGTAAGTTTTGAATAGAGTTGCATAAATTACCACAACTCCCCTCTTCTGTTTATTGTGATCATCTTGTGCATCAAGCTGTTCTTGAGAGATGAGGCTTATTTGCTCAGTGCTGTGCTAACTCACTCTGTAGTGAGTGAAACCCTGTGGTTTCTGGTCCAGAGTTGACATGCAGAGAGTGAGACATTCAGGTGGGTCAGAGCCATACCTGTGCACACCTAACTGCAAAGTATCTCATAAGGATCTCTTTTTCTTTATTCTCTCAGTCGTGGAAAGGGGAAAGATCCTTACAGATTTCTTACAAGGCTTGGAAAAAAAAAGGCTAACAGACATTACAGCTAAGTCTTCCTTGCACTTGTGCGAACAGGTATAGGATCAGATTCTAAGCCCTGATTGACAGATGCAGGCTAACCAAAGTTACATACTTGAGGAGCCACAAACATAAATGGTTGGCCCTGAATGTGTGTAAGATCCACCTCAGGACTGCACTGATACGCCAGTGCTCCTCCTGAGCTACAGCTGTAAGTTGCCAGGAGTGCTGGTGGAGGAAATTTGTGACGGTTTCCACCTGAGCATAGATATGCTGATGCAGGGGTAGGTTTCTGAAAGTAAGATACAGTAGTCTTATCTCTTTCCTTCTTTCCCCTCTTTATTTGGCTGCTTCTCACCACTAACAATGATTTTGAGGGGGGTGGACTAAAAAGGCAAAAGGACTTTAAGGACTTTCTTTTAAAATAGAAACAATATGAGCAACAGAAAAGTTGGTCGATGGAGAGAACAGACTTACTAATCAGAAAATCTACCTTCCGTAGATAAAACTTACTAAGAATTTTTCATAACTTGCAGTTAGGGGAAAAGAGTTTTCAGGCAATTTCCATTTGTAGTACACTTACAGGTAATAGGTTTTATTCTGAGTATTAGACACTCATATTTAAGCCATTTATTCTTTTATGCTTAGATATGCTTTTGGTGTGCAGTGTATCAATTTGGATGTCCACATATGATATGATATGGAAAGCATTTTGTAAACTGAGTGGCAGTAGAACAGTATGCCTATCATCTGTCTTGAACCTCTAATGATGACAGTGATTCAGACCCAGTCCAGGGAGCCACGGTTTTTAAATAGCTCACAAGGAAAGATATGGACTTCCAGAAGGTGTTTAGTGTTCCTAAGCAGGATGCTTAACTTTTAGACAGTGAAGCCCTATCCATATCAGATGCATCTTTATGGAGCAGAGGGAGGTAAAGAGTTGCACAAGTCTGTCTGAGAAGGTCTGCAGGCTTACAACAGATACTGATTTGCAGAATTAAGAACTGCAGAGCATTTGCAAGTATATCTGTGAATGTATTATTATGATCTTGCAAAAACTTAAATATAATTAAAAAATACTATGTAAATCAATGTTAAGCATGGTGAATAGGCCTGTGATCTTACATTTCAGTCCTTACGGCCAGGTATCTTTGCTAAGTGTCATTAAAAATCCAGAGATTAGCAACAAGACTCCAAAGTAACTGACAAGTGGAATTGGTGTCTGGAATGCAGTGAAAAGCAGCTCAATGAAAGCTGAATTTTCCTATCAGTGAGAGTAAAGCAAGAATTGAATGAAGCTTTTCAACTGCAATGTGGTAAATATGCCATATGCTTTGAGAAAGATTCCTTGTTTGTAAACAATCTTTCAAAGAAAAAACTACATTCAACTACAGAAGCAATTTCAAAGATCTGTCATAATGCTACTTTTTCCTTTTGGTGAGCTCATATTCCGAACACAGTGAAGGAGCTTAAGTTTTGGAAATAAAAAATCAGTAATGGAATCTGTGGTACTACAAAACTCCAAGAAGGAATGATTAAATGATGTTTTGTGTCAAGAGTAAGAAAATCAAACCCATACTGCTTTGTGGTCTCCTGAATATAAGTTTATATCTGTCTTCTCTTTGACCGGATTCACTTGTAGCACTTAAGTGCTTTTCAAAACCAGGTACTAGAAGAAAAGAATAACCAGTACCAAAAATGCAGATAAAACACCTGTAAAGACCTTTAGAGTAAAATAAGAAATTGAACTGGAGAATTCCAAGGTATCATCATTTGCTGTTTGCCTTTAAAACAAAGAAAGGATTCCAAAGTAATTTGGCAGATTGTTACAGAATCCTACTGATGGGATAGTCCTGGTACATCTCACAGACCTGCTTGCATAAAACTGTTGCAAGAATTTAGTAGGTTCAGGCTCCTGAGTTCTACTGTGTAAAAGAAATTGAGAGGTCAAAGATGACAGTTGGTCTTTCACATCAGAGTAAATCAGCTTAATACTCATAGCTAGATGTTAATTCAAACCCTAACAGATTGGTAAGAATTTTTCACTGTGGAGTTACAATCCAGAGGAGAAAAAAAAAGGGTTTTACAAATACAAAAAAGATACTGTAAACAATGGAAGAGCTAGTTGAAGCTGACAGGACAAAAAGGAATGTAATCAAGCTACACAAATGTATTTCACATTCAATGACAGGAAAAATATTCTAAATTAAAGACAAAAATTGAGACAACAGACAAACAAAAATCTTCAAGAAAAGAATTCTGAAACTTGACTATTAAATTCCAATATTATTAATCACTACTTCCTAATCCTGCCAACAGTTTAAAGTAGCTGGCCTCACGACTGCTCAAAATGTCATCTAGTTTAGGACTGGGCTAGCACAATATTAGCACTATGTAATATCCATATTTTCCTTTGGAAATGAACTTAATAAAAACAAAAGCGGAACTGCAAATACTGTGCATATTGCTTATTATTTCCAATCACAAAATATCACAGTCTGTAAACAAGGCACTCCAAAGGCATGCAACTCTTCTGCTCATCTAGGGGAAAAAATACCGCAGAGTCATTGTCTTCTGCAAGGACGTAAAACGTGTTGGACAAACTCTTCACCTTTTCATAAACAATCAATGAGTCTGGACCTAACTTATATTCATCAATTATGTATTTTGTCCAGCATGGCTCTGCCCTGAATTTCTGCACTAATACTATCTTCCCTGCCCATCACTACTGACCAGAACTCACAATATCTCATGAAGCAATCAACATTTCCTTCAACATACATGTTAGTGCCTTCTAGGCAGAAGTTAGTATTTCTTGGAAACAGTCAGCCATGCCTACTTGTTTTACTTAGCTATAGTGTCACCCTTGTCTGTAAATTGGAGAGGGGGATAGAACTAGTATATTTCATAATAGCAAGTACTATAAAATATTTCATAAAGTCAAATAATTTTCTGTTTATAATTAGGAAGTTGCATCTGCTGAGTATTTAAGTTTACCCAGCTTTGCTACTCTGGAATATAAACCAGGACAAAAATCAGCCAGAACTTTTTCACAAATGTATACACTATGCTTTGTGGTGTTTTTTTTAAAAAAGAAGGACACCTTATTATTTGTGTATGAAAGTAAAGTATGACAAGATACCCCACTGCCATTACTCCAGTCTATAGCAGGGTTTTTTTGGAAAATATTGCTAAATGTCTTGCTAACCTTGGGGATTACCCAAATATAATGTATACAGAACACTGCGCCAACATCACGCAATTGCGTATACTGTATACATGTCAGTCATTCACTCCAGAAACATTAAAAAAAAAGAGAGTGGAGAAAATAGCAAACTAACACTCAAACCCCAAACAGCATTAACGGGAGACTTCCAGCTTGAAAGTGTCTGGACATACTTACCTGGCATAATTATGAGAGTCTGAATAAATGAACAGGTCTTTACCCGTGCTTTTGGCATGCCAGTAGCTTTACAAATAGTCAGTTTAAAAGATCTTTGCCATGGGCATTGCATAAATAATTTTATATACTTACGTATGTATGTATATATATTATCTGTGTGTGTGTGTGTGTGCGTGTGTGTGTGTGTGTGTAAAAATGCATGTTAAACAAAAGACCTAAGAAGATTTTAAAAACCCATAGCATACTTCATAACTTATTTTCTAGGATAAACTATGTTTTTAATTAATCACTTCAGTAACCGAAGCTGTCAGTGACCTTTTAAAATAACTATATATATACAGCACACTGTTAGATGAGTATTAATTTTTTTCCCCCTCCACTGCAAGCAAAGTTTAGAGAATTAGTTGTTATAATGAGCGATAATTATTAAGCTTCAATTTTGTTTCTTAGAAGTTTTTAATTAGGTCGATTGTGAGCTTTTTTTTTTTAGTTAAATCCAAGTAACCAAGCAACTATGTGCAGAAATTAACCTTTTTATTATATTATATACTGTAGTAGTAAAGTTTGTTTGAAGTGCATGAATAAAAAGTTAGTGAAATTACAGGAGGAACAATCTAATATAGCAATAATAGGTGCATTCACTGTGCATCTGAAAGGAGGAGGGGGGAAAAAAGAAGAGTTTCCACTCATTTTGGCCTAAAACATGTTCAGGTTTCCAGGATTCTGACATCAGAACCCAGATAACACCAGTTAGAACCATAGGGCTTTACAATAAAAGCTAAAATATTGACCATATGATGGCAAAAAGTCTTTATTTTGAGGTTAACTTATTCTCTTCTAGCTACTCTCTGATGAAGTTGGTGGTGCTGTGGAGGATGATCTCCTTCTTCTTGACAAAGATCGTGATCGTTCAGCACTGTAGGCAACATGCTTATCATAATTTTGTGTCTGAGCCTCGAGGAAATCCCTCTGTTGCTGGCTGATTGTCTGGCTAATCAGTCCAGGGAGAGCTTGAATGCTACCAATTAAAGTTTCCAGTTTAGTTTCCAGAGTAACAATTCTCTTCTCAAAATCTTCACTTCTTTCATTTAAGTCAGAAATCATGTCATACATGATGTTTTGAGTCTGAAAGCAGAAGGACATAAACAAAGGTTTAGAAAGACGTTACAAATATTGTAACAAGCAGCACAGCTCTACAAGGGTTTGTAAATGCTTTTGCACTTGACAAAAAAACCCAAAAGGATATGAATATTATAAAAATATCAAGTATTGTGAAATAGTTTTCCTTGTAGATTCAGAACTAATTTCCTACTAAACTTGCTGAGCAGAAATGTAATATATTTTGAGTAGCATTTTAGATGTCAAGGTCTAAATGAATTAGACAAAAGATCAGACCGTTTTTGGAAGTTTGGGTGCTTAGAAATTCACCATCCTAAGCTACGTAAACAGTCTGTTGTGTAAGCCACCAGGAGACTAAAGGCTGCAAAGCTGTGATCCATCTTTGATTCTTCTGTATTTCCTCTGACTTTAAAAACCATCATTCTTCTAAGCAGAACACAAATGTTGATTTGCTTTCTCCTTAAACTGACCAGGCTTTCTTGAAGTGGTTGTAGTATGAGTAGTTGCGTGGATAGGTTTTGGAATGTAATGCAAGAAGTAAAAACTCAATTGTATGCTTTGCTACTTCCACATTCACCAATCTATCTGCCCTCTACAAAACAGTGTTTGTTTACAGCAAGTACAAAGAGTGTACTTCAAAATGCTGTAGTGGTCAGTAAAAATGTAATCTGAAATACGTTAATTCATAGATACTTGGAACAGGTTAGACATAATGGCTGAATTTCTCGCTCTGACAGACTGAGACTAGAGTCAACCTAGAGTCAAAATTGGATGTAATTCAGTGGGCAAACTGGTTGAAGTTTATAAAACATCCAAAAGGAATGAAAATTAATTGAATGACTGACTGTCTGAAGGGTAAAGCACTTCATCAGATCAGTATTGATAACCCATTTCTCTGCCCCCTGTTTCAAGCTGCTAGCATAACCCTTGAAAGCAAAGTAGTCTACATTTAAAGAGTATTTGAAGAGTCCTTATCAGTTGCCAGAAGAATGAGATAGAAATGTATTTTCAGCAACTGAAGTTGTAAGGTGATTCTCTAAAGCAAAAGGGGAATAAGCACTGAAGAGTTTAATCTCTTCTTTGATGCACTTTAAATTGAGGAGGTTTTTGAGGTACATGAGGAGGTGTACAAGAAATACTTAGCAAAATCCCATTAATGCATTTAATGTAGCCTCAAGATCAAAGTAACTTTTAAATACTGAGGTCTAATGTGAAACCTGGAATGCTATCAGCTCAGTCCTCTACCTCTCTAGTAATTATTTTGTGCTAGCGAAACACCATCATGAAACACATGAGGGACAACCAGATGCTCAGTCCCAGTCAGCATGGGTTCATGAAAGGCAGGTCCTGCTTGACAAACCTGATCTCCTTCTATGACAGGGTGACCTGCTTATTGGAGGAGGGAAAGGCTGTGGATGTTGTTTACATTGACTTTAGCAAAGCTTTTGACACCGTTTCCCACAGCATTCTTCTGGCAAAAATGGCTGCTCAAGGTTTGGACAATCGCACACTTCGCTGGGTAAGAAACTGGCTGGATAGCCAGGCCCAGAGACTTGGGGTAAATGGAGTTAAATCCGGTTGGTGGCCGGTCACAAGTGTTGTCCCCCAGGGCTCGGTTTTGGGGCCACTCCTGTTTAACATCTTTATTGATGATCTAGATGAGGGGATCGAGTGCACCCTCAGTCAGTTTGCAGATGACCCCAAGTTGGGTGGGAGTGTTGATCTGCTCAAGGGTAGAGAGGCTCTGCAGAGAGACCTGGACAGGCTGGAGCCATGGGCTGAGGCCAACTGCAGGAGTTTCCATAAGGCCAAATGCCGGGGGCTGCCCTTGGGCCACAACAACCCCCAGCAGGGCTACAGGCTTGGGGAGGAGTGGCTGGAGAGCTGCCAGTCAGAGAGGGACCTGGGGGTGTTGATTGACAGCCGGCTGAACAGGAGCCAGCAGTGTGCCCAGGGGGCCAAGAAGGCCAATGGCATCCTGGCTTGTGTCAGCAATAGCGTGGCCAGCAGGGACAGGGAAGGGATCTGACCCCTGTACTCGGCACTGCTGAGGCCACACCTCGATTCCTGTGTTCAGTTTTGGGCCCCTCACTACAAAAAGGACATAGAGTTACTCGAGCGTGTCCAGAGAAGGGTAACGAAGCTGGTGCAGGGTCTGGAGCACAGGTCGTACAGGGAGCGGCTGAGGGAACTGGGGGTGTTTAGTCTGGAGAAGAGGAGGCTGAGGGGAGACCTCATCGTCCTCTACAGCTCCCTGAAAGGAGGCTGCAGAGAGCTGGGGATGAGTCTCTTGAACCAAGTAACAAGTGATAGGATAAGAGGGAATGGCCTCCAGTTGCACCAGGGAAAGTTCAGACTGGATATTAGGAAGCATTTCTTTACAGAACGGGTTCTTATGGGTTGGAATGGGCTGCCCAGGGAGGTGGTGGAGTCCCCATCCCTGGAGGTGTTTAAGAGTAGGGTCGACTTAGAGCTTAAGGATATGCTGTAGGTGGGAACTGTGCTAGGCGAATGGTTGGACTAGATGATCTCCAGGGTTCTTTCCAACCTAGATGATTCTGTGTGAAAAATCTCAGCAACAATAGACAAGAAATTTGCAATTTAATGGCCTTTTTTTACCTCATCTCAAACGTTTTAAAAAAGATTAATAAAGCCTTATGATGTATCAGTAAAGCAGGCAGCTATTAGTCATTATAAAACCTTAAATAAATGCAGACCTAAATTTACTTGTCCAAAGTCACTGCTGCATAAGACAAGAGGGATAGAAAACCAGAACCTTTGATTCCAGTCTGTGTGAGAGCCTGATTAATATGGATCTTCACAGCACAGTCACTATCACCAGACAAGAAATCTCTTTACTGCACAGCACTACACTACTACGACCCACTCGCAGTTCACCATTTACCAGGACCACTGCAGTAATTTCAAGAGCTCAGGATCAGCGTCTCAATTGCAAAATCTTTTTCAAGTGTACAAAAAAATAAATAAATATGGTGCACTGAAACTTTGGTCAGAGCCATAAACAGGATGGTTCGTTAATTAGGTGTTACCACAAAACACACACATATTTTCATTTTCTACAAATAATAAACTTGTTAACATTATTTGCATGTATAATGCACAACATTTTCACTTACAAACTCTTCATTTTGAAAGTAATTGCCTACTAACCTTTGCCAGGTCCACCAAAGTGTTGGCTTGATCATTCAGTTTCCTTTGTTCCATTTTTACACTTCTTAATCTAAAAAGTTGAATTTTAAGTCAGTTTTTTTTTGTGTATGTGATCATATCAGGATTTCTAAAAAGCATGCACAAAATTTACAAGACCAGATAACTGCATGGACAATGTCTTGAGTACTTAGTGTAAAGTCAGAGTTGATCATGTGCCTGCTACAATGAGAAGCATGCTTCTTCAACACGGCAAAAAAGGAAAGAGCAAGGAAATGTGATGTCCTTGAGAATACCATTTGGCATGGTCAAAGTTAAATTCAAAAAGGGAGAGTACAATTTGTCCAGACTATATGAAAGAAAGCCAAAACATTCCTCAAAGCCTCAGTATCGTGACAAGTAGATATAGGAAGAAACATAGAACAACTGGGTTTCGTCATTAATGTTGTAGCAATTAAGAATCTTCCCATGCCTACATGACTAGATACAGGTATAAGTCCTGTTCTGTCGGTAATGGATTGGGTTAGCAGGTGTTTGAACCTGATGGAAATACAGTGATAAGTGAGTTTCTCATTACTTTAAACAGAACTTCCATCTGATCAGCAGCTAAATAACCAACATACTTGCCAATACATTTGATTTTCTTACATAATTTGTGAATGTAAATATGATTATGTTTTAAACATACATGACACATTCCTTTTCAATATGCTATTCAAACTACAGCATTGAAAAACCATGAAAGAAGCAGCAATGGTATCGTTTTCTCCTTGATGCTTACCTATCTGCATTATTATTAGTTATACACATTCTCTGAAAGACATATACATGACTTCCTTATGTGCTCCCTGAAATATAGTCCATGTTTTTCAGACTGTGAGAGAAGCAGTTGGTAGATTGTCACAAATAAGCAATTTCTCCCTTAAGTATGCGTAATTTGTTCAACATTTCCCAGCAGAAACACTTGGAATTTCTGGTGGCTGTTCTAAGCAGGAAGCAGAATTTTTCAAAAACATAGCTGTTTATACACAATGATGTTTGATAAGATACCATACAGTCTACCAGTATGTCATGGGCCAACCAAGCTACCCATCCGGTTAGCTGTCAAATGAAAATAAGTTTGGCAGCATTTTGTGGCAGGTGGGTTGCTAATGCATACTCTGCCTGTTTCTTAGTGATGGTGTTATTTAGAAAGCTGATTTAAAGAAAACCTTCTTAGAGATATTGCAAAATCAGGAAGTTGCTGTTTGTATCTTTAGTTATCGAGCATTTCCTTTCACGTCTAGGCTAACTGACATGAGAAAATAAGTTGTGAAGAGTGAAATGCCTTTTAAAACACATGGAAATAACTCTGTTAAGGTAGAAATCAATTGTTCACATAAAATTGACATTCCAGTGGGTTATTACTGGAACATCATATGCTCTTCTTCCCCTTGGAGGCTTTCTTCAGAGCACAACATAAATGCAGACCGTAGGAATGGTGCTTTCAGAAGTTATGATCTGGAGATATTTTAAAAGGGAAAGTATGGAGGTGTTTCCAAGGTATGGAGTTACATGATTACAGTCTGAAAACAGAATAATTATTCAAAGGTAAGCATGTAATGATCTAACTGGAGAATGATAACCCTGTTGTTTTGGTGAGCATCCCTCAAATAATTCACAGAATATATGTTTTCTGCTTTTCTTAAGATTCATTGACTCATGTGTTTGCCAGTTGGTATTTTTATTTTAAAATTATGAGAAATCCATTGTTATTGTATCAATACAAGTACCAGCTGACACCAACATGGTAATTCCTCATGGTAACCAACACAGTATCTATCATAGACTGTAAAACACATCACTAGGTAATGGCAAGTCTTTAGCTGCAGCAACCGGATTTAAAGAAAACTATCAGACTTTCATTCATAAATTCATCAAGAGAAATTACGAAACATCTTGATTTTATGAACTTCACTTATCACAGCAAAAGATCATGATTCTGGATCGTGTTTCCATGGCAGCAATCAGACCACTGAAGTTCACAAATAAAGACTCTATTTTTTTTGCATGCAGACAGTGGTAAATTCTGCAAATTCAGAAAGGAACAGCTTATATGACTTACTTCCGAGCTCTATTTTCATTTTGTTGAAATAAAAAGACAAAACAAAAGAAAACAAACTGTAAAATATACTAAAACAATGAAATGAGCACAGTGGGCTCAACTGAGCAGGTGGAAAGTCCTAAGGAGTTGCTACTTCTTTCAATCGATAACTACCTGAGGTGGAGTCTAACTCGCATTCGCAATGAAGGAAGATGCAATAGCTTCAAACCTTCCCATTAACTATTATCTGTAGATTTTCTTATTCATAAAATACATAAAATGCCTTTTAATAGTATCATTTAGAGTGATGATTTCACTTTCATCACATTTAATGGGCATGAGAAGCAAGAATGATCCAGACCAGCTGAAGGCAGTTTTATAGCTGTGACTGTGAATTTGAGACTATGATATGCTCTAGTTTCTTGTATAAAACTGGCCCTAAAACTTCTTTTATTTCTGTCTCCACTGAAATGGTTGGAAAGTGAAGGAGGGGGAGGAACGAAAAACCCTCAGAACCCAAAAAGATGAAGAAGAGACATATACTACTATGAGTTATTTGAGAAAAGTTCAAAGATGCAAAACGTGAAAAAATAATTTGCACCCATCCATTCTTTATCATGGCACATTCTTCAGCATATTGAGAAAATTATCCTTTTTTTTTTTTTTTTTTCTTAAATACGAAAGTTTTGTTATGGAATGTAAAGCACTAATAGAGAGGGGAAAATGCATTATTAACATATCTGTTCAAAGTTTTGCTGTCACAGCTTGGAAAAAATTATTGCTACCACATTCTTCACCCCACTTGAATAAAGAATTTTTAAGGCAGGTGCAGAACAACATTTTACACATGGTAAAACTCTTCTGTACTTGAATGATAAATAAAGCTGTAGATAGAGCCTGCTGTGCTTTTTAGATTCTTCTCTGAATGTGAGTGTGCACGCACACACAGACACACACACTCAAAATAAATAGCAAAGTTAAAATGTTAAGGAGTAACATTTGCAATCAAGGTTTCAAGTCCAGCAAAGGATGCATAGGACATGCTATCCTATATCCCAGAGCCCCTGCCACTCTGCCTCCCAATCCTTTAAACCAAGCAGGATGACCAAACTGGGAAAATATACTTTTTATATCCACATATTGTTGTCTTTTTATTCCTTGAAGTATTTCTGCAATAGCACAGTAACATTTAATCCTGCAAGTTTGATAAATATAATAATCAAGGTTTACAGAATAGTTTATACCTTAAGCTTAGCTACCCATTGCTTTAAAACACTGCTATGAAACAGAGAAACAGTAACTGTTTGCTTAAATTTACTAATAGGAAATACCATAAACTGGCCTTTCCTTCCTGCCTTTCCTGCAAGATGACCCATAGGTATTCTCTTCATGATGGTGCTTCCATCACACCTCCTCACAGGTTGGCTCAGACTCAGACACATTACAATGCCATAATACAGCTTAATCCTACTGCTGGTTACAGTTCTCAGGCTTGTTTTAAATCCCTTAAGATTTCGGTAGCAGGGAAGAACTCATCTGAATCATGCCAGAGGTGCTCAAAGGTCACACAACAACTGTTGCCATATATTTGTTGTTGGCATATATTCTGATTTTGTGGAACATCTGTCAGGTGTCATAGCTGACATATCAACATTTGATTTTATGCACTGAGAGTACATTGTGGAGAGAAGCAACTAGTTGCTGTTGGGCTGTACAATGTCACTTGATGCATATACTTTAAATTAAGCAGTATATCCATACTCATAGGGTCTCTCCTATTATATCATTCTGACTTTAAATTATTAAAACTTCTACCACAAATTAAATTTTTTTCTTTTTTTTCTGTCTATGGTAGCTTGTATCTTAGTACCCATAAGTAAATATGTAACAACAGAGGATAGTCTCAGTGGCAAAAGACAAAAAAAGTCTTAGATAAGAAGCACAGGAAAATTCTATAAATATATTAACAAGTTTGATTTACCTCATATTGGATATACACAGCCAGAATACTTTTTTTTTTTTTTTTCTTTTGTAAACAGGTAATACAGTAAAACCTTATATTTGTCTTACTCTTAGAGAAAAATCAATCTCAAGAGCAATGTTCTATGAAGGAGAGGAGTGGGGAAGAAAAGAGAGGAGGCAGGATGGGACACAAGGACTAAGAGTGGCTCTGAGGGAGAGGGAAACTAAGAGAGAAAACCCCTGAAGAGAAAAGTTAAAGCAAAATAGTACTTACTGATGAATAGCTTGCAAGAATTTGCGTTGATGTTTCCTTACTTTCGCATGGTCTACCTTTTTAACCAGCTTTGTGTTTTTATAAATTAACCATGTTTCCCTGAGTACATTGGCGGCTGCGTTTTTCACCTGTTTAATAAAAGAAAAACACCAGGCTGACAAATGTAGCATTATGTCATGTCTTCTCTTTTCTGATATAAACTCCTTCTAGAGCCCTTAAGACCCTGCATAACTGTGGAAAGTGGGTACATACAGAAGCTGCAGCACTGAGGGTAGAAAGCAGTAACGACCAAGGAGATTGCTGAGCAATTTCCATGTCTTGTGATACTGGGATCAACTGTCTTTGCATCAGAGAATAATTTGTCCCTTGTTAAAGAGTTATCACGATTTGGTGTTTATGGCAATATAAATTACAGTGAGAAAATACTAATGCATTATTTCCATGGTAGTTAATAGGATCATAAAATTTTTCTCTTTCTTGTTCTATGAGTAGTACCTCTTAATTCTCTTAGCAATTTAACAGTTTTAAAATTTCTAGAGCTCTTTGAACATACTTTTTTCTTTTTTTTTGTTCACATTTTTATTCTTGTTTCTTCTTTAACATTCTCCAAGGAGACAAAAAAAAAATCTTGTCAATTAATGTGGCCGGTGTTCTGTTTCATAAGTACTTTATTGTGTTTTTTTTTAATGAGGCTTTCCATAAAATGTTAATGTTAAGAGTACCTACAATTCCTTCTTAGGCTCTCAAAAATTTTCAAGAATGCTTGAAAACAACAAAGAATGTCAGTGCAATGTTGATTAATGACAGGATGAGTTGGTTACTTGCAAAGGAAAACTGTTCTTACTATTCATCTTTATTTTCTCTCCCTCCAACTTTATATCATGCCAGTCACTGCAGCATCAGACCTAAATCAATGTCTAGGTAAAGGCATTGCAGGAATGCCATACAGTAGCTCTTCTCAGCAAGATGTCCCAACCTCGTACCTGCAGAAGTGTTGGAGAACCTTGGTCCTGACTTCAGTAGAAGTGCAATCACATTTTAGAGATCTCCTCACAATCTCTACCTAGGCCTTGCACTTCCACAAGGTATCAAGATGTGAGGAAACCTCTCTTGTATTTGTGTAACTGATCTGTGACCTGATGTGAACCTCAGATTTTTCTTCCTGTTTGCTTTTCATGTGCTTTGAGTTTCATGAGTCTGAAGCTACCAAAGCACCAGCAGTATTAGACTAATATTTAGATTTATAAAATAAATAAATAAACTGCATAAATAAATAAACTGAATAAAATAAACTTTAAAAGGCACAGTTGAACACCAGACTCAAAATCTAGCCAGTGTTCACAAAATGTTTTTGTCTCCTCAAAGACATTTTGAGCTCAGCTGTCAGATTACACTAGAAAAGTGTCTGTATTAGGAAGAGACGAATTGTTGCCTGTGGTCTGGTATCAACAAGACCTTAACTGACTATAATAGGAGTGTAAATCAACAAGCTCAGATAAGACACCTCAAGTCAGACACCCTTTATATAAGAACTGCCTTCCCACTCATCTTTAGTCTTTCCCTATCAGGACTGCTTAGGGGAGACACAGGCTGTTAGTGGTAACCAGCACAGAAAAAAGGGAGCCACCACAACCAGAGCAACGTGCTGACATGTCCTGGAAACACAGTGTGTAGAGACATGACATGGGTCTCTGCAGCAGAGGACCTACAGCAGCACAGCACTGCACCGCTGCACGGAGCTGTGCTGAGGCAGCCAACTTCCTTCCAACCTGGAGCAGAGCCCTGGTTTCCAGCTCAGGCGTCGACATCCCATTCCACCACCCATCCGTAAGGACAAGCTCTGCTGAGTTCCTTTTGTGAGTGTAAGGACCTTCCTCTCCATATTGGCTCTTCTCAATAATGAAGATTAAACAAGTTAAGAGGACTGTGTAGCTCCTACTCATTTTCTTGTTCCCTCAACACTGACTTGTTTTACTTCAATAATGGATTTCTACTGCCTTGTTTGTTGCATTCTTTCATTTTCCAAGATGTTATTGTAATTTTTTAAAAATTCTATTTCATAAGAAAAATCTAAAAATCTTTTTTCTGAATTCTAATGATTTCTAGAGGGTTTTTAAAAATAATCTCTTCTAAAAACAATATTATCAACAAACATCTTTAAGTCACTTCAGTACTGTGTGCTGCTAAGCAGACCCTGTGTTGAGTACACAAAGCAATTGGAAAGACTGCCTCACTCACAAACCATGAATACATCTTTTTAAGAACATCCTTTATAGCTTGAAATTCTTGTATGTATCAGTCATTTTGCCTATTTCAGCTACAAAAAATTTATATATTTTTCTCATATACTGCATGAAAGACTTTCAGTTTAATATAATAGTCTAGTTTCACAGTATTTAACTGTTGATTTTACCAATTAACTTTCAGCTGCAAGGACCCCCCATAGAAAAATATTCAAATCCTCAAAATCTGTTGAGAACTTGCAGTTGCCCTCAATTCAGAGAAAAGCTCAAGGCATTCAATTCTTCCTCCTTGCAAAATCACACCCCTGAAAAAATTCCATAGAAGAATGTAGCAGGAGACTATTTAAAACAAATGCAGAAACAAATTAACACACATTTCCTTTTCAGTGTGAATACAAAGGGTGACTTACTCTTTTAGTTAGCTGGGTGTCCATCATGAAATTATGCACATGTTTTTCAGCTTTGGTAAGTTCTAACTTCCTTGCCACCACAGCTACCACCAGTGCAGTGCACCCAGCACCCTGAAAACAATAAAACAAACCCCCAAGATGTTACTTCTGCATTTTGCAGAGGTTTTAGCAGAAGTTTCTCCTTTTGCTGTAGAAGTATGGCAAACATCAGGTGATTCATACCTGGTAAATATAGTGAACACACTACAGCTATTTCAGCTCAGAGTAATAGGAAAAGTCAGTAATTACAGGCTGGTAAACTGTCAAGGCATCAAAATAATTAGTAAGCAGCATCATTTAAAAGTTCTGCTTTTTTTCCTGCAGGGGTTGGAAATTTGAACACATCCCACTTCTAGTGCATAAACAAAGGGGTGATCAAAACAACTTTTAAAACTCAGAATATTATTAAATAAATGCAGAATAACCTGTTCTTAACAACTGTCTCAAGGTCACAGCAATTGCTAAAGAGGAAATAGAATTAGATTAGTATTTAGCATACAAAACCCCCAAAGTTTCTTAGGATTTTCTGTAGGGCCTAATAATAATAATTAATTTAGTATTTAATCACTTTAATATACTTCCCTGTTGTTCTCTGAGTCCTTCAATTATATTTTCCTATGGAAATTCTGCTTATCTTATTACCATTTAAAATAGCACACATACACAACATAATTTCTTCAAAACTTGGATGGAGAAAATATCAATTTTCTAATTTGTGCTGTGTATATGTATGTATATACACATATATACACGGACATGCATGTTTACAACAGGCCAAAGCCTGTAGGTGGCTGTCCCTTTGAGATGACAGTGCCTTTATCACCATGACAAATTTAAATGGTTTGGGGCGAGGGGGTGGGGAGTGGGGGGTGGAAGGAAAGGATGCTAAAATGAGCCAGGTAATGAGAAGCAGTGTCAACTATACACATCTAGAGGTATCATTTACTTTACGCTATTAATAATTCTGCTGCCTTAGTCTTTATTTTAAAGCAAATATTTACAGGTTCTTTTTAAAGAAGTACAAAAATCATATTAAATATACAAGGCTGTTTTTAACTTGCAGGTTCATCCCAATCTGTTACTGCACCTGCATCAGTTACTCTCCAGTATAAAGCAATCTCTTGTTGCACATTGAAACTTACCACATTTTCATCTGCAGAACTTTCTTCCACTCTTTCTGTATTTCTCCCATTAATTTACTTTCTCCCCATTCCCCACCTCTGCAACTGCCTTAATCTCTCCAGAAAATCCAGAAGAAATCTCTGAATCTAGCTTCCAAAATATAAGCTCCAATAATAAACACATAGGGATTGCCAAATAAACTCACTGTAAATCCTTATTCACATAAGTGTCCTCAAAAAAAATGAACCTGCTCTCTCTGCTTACTTACTGACACACCCAATTAATTTTGTGAATGTCTCCAATTAATTAATTCTTCGTTCCCTTGGTAGATTGTTCCAAGAAATACATGTGCTCCCTCAAACACCTAATTCTCTGCAATTAGTTCTCACCTATCAAAGTTTCTATCCCCAATTGCTTTCAACATTTCCTTGAATGAGTCCCTTGTAACTTTGATGCATTTCCTGCTTCTCTCCTGACCTTAATACTAAGCTTCCTAGCTTTGCTGTTCCTTCACGCTCTGTTCTCCAACCTTGTGACAATAGAAATGCATGGAAATTTTCTTTAAGTCTTGCTCTCCTCATGAGATGAGTCAAAATGGGGCTGTAAGTTCCTTTGCTTCTTCAGATCCCACTAAGAGTTAAGAAGAAAGAAGACAGCCAATGCATCTTAAGGCTGAGCACTTCAGAAATGCACCGAGCCTTTTGAGAAGAAGACTAGGCAGGTATTGCTCTACCATATGCCGTACCTCCCCCAAAAATAGACAGCCCTTCTCCGGTCTCCTTTCCTGTGAAGGAGGGCAGGAGAGAAGTGCTAATATGCAGAAGACTTCTCTGTGGGCAAATAAATAAATATGTAACACTATACAATAGCAAGAACATGAAGAGAAAAGCAGATATCTTTTGGCCCAGTATGTTAGGATAACTGGGACCAGATGCTGGTAAAATGTAACTTGAATTCTGCCTACTTACAGCAAGAATGCTAGAACAGAATGAGATTACTAATACAGATGCCACCCGGAAAGATCCCCCTTCATGGCCCTGTTGTGTCCATCCCCCCACCCCCCCAAAAAAAAAAATCCAACAACCAAACCAAACCAAAAAGAACCCACCCCCAAACAACACCAAAACTGGAGGAATAGTAACAGTCAAAAGGAATTTGGTCTGAGTTGAAATTTTTCCAGCCTTTGCAATTAACTCTCATGCTTTTTCAGAGTGGCACAGCAGTTAGAAGGGCCAAACACTGTCAAAACCATTAGCTTTATACCTCACATGAATGATGCTGTCTGCAGCAGCAGATTACTGTCACCAGCAAACTATGACAACCACCTCTAAGGTGTATATGCACTGCTATCTTCCTTATCCCCAGAACAGATTTTAAGGGCACTTAGACCTTCCAGTGTGTAAAAATCTGAGGAGAAAGAGAATGAAATAATATTCATAACATTCCCTCATCAGTCCACTGCAGCTTTAGCTGGAGAGATATATATCTGAAAGCTACCAACTTCCATCCCATTGAGCAGTCCATTTGAAGTGTAGCTAAAGAGACAAAAAAGCAAGTGTCAGATTTCACAGAATTAAAAACTATCAGTTTGTGCCAGTTAGTAAATATTCATAACTATGTATATCAAAACTAAATGGTCTGATGTAAAATTGTTTCACAAGGGAAAAAATAGTCAAAAAAATTAAATTCATGCTGACTATTCATATTTTCAGTAATTTCAGGCAAATTTGAAAAACAGACAATTCTGCATTCACAGTTTCTCAAAACTGCAGTATTCTTTTTCTATGCAGAAAAGTTTTCTGTGTGTTCACATGAAGCATTAAGCAGTTACAAGCTGTGTTGATAATTTGGACACAGCTGTTAAAAACCTGGACACAAATTACTGCAACACATACAGTGTAAGCAATTTAGGCAAGCCAAACACGAAGTCTGTATTGCTTATTTGTTTCATTTAATGGAAACAGGTAATAACAGAATTAACCATTCATTAATTTGATTTCTTTCAAGTACTCTATGATCAAGGGTTTTCCAGCAACCAACAGTTTTAAAAGCTGATCGATCTGAATTTTTCTATTTTTCAGAAAGCCTATACATGCTGAACTAACTTATCTACTAAACCAGGAGAAGTCCTTAAGATTACAGATTTAAGAATGGGCTTCTCTAAAACAAGACCAGGGCTCCACTGAAGAGGTGAGCAATGCCTATTTCCTATTTGCAAGGATCTGAAGATGAAGCACATGAATCTCATCCTCATCCTTATCCCGAATGCACAGTATTTCTTGCATGATATGAAAGGTGCATATTAGCCTTCAGTAAAAGGAAGAAGTCTGAAAACAAATATATGACACATATTCAGTCCTTCAATTTGGCAAAGCAACAAACACTGGACTGCTCAGTGGCATGAGATCTCTGATGGAGATGTAAAACTTTCGTTTGTGAACAGTACAATCTTGACGCATAAGGTTTTACAGTAACTTATACTGGATAGAACTCACATTGACTGTCAATCTGATTAGCTGCTCTTCCGTAGGAAAACATTTTGATGTACCTGCAAACAACTTTAGGGGACACTTCATATATTTAATTCTAAACATACTGCTCCAGTTCAGGACAAAGAATGATGCCTTAAGTTCAAATGCTCATGCAGGTAAGCAATAGTGCATGAAAGCCCTCCTTCAGTACCCTCTCTGATGCTTAGAATTCGAAGTGACTTGCTCTGATAGAAGTGTATGTAGTTATTTGACTCACATATATACTTAGGTTCTTGTTAAACACTAGTAGGCTAAGTATTTTTTCACTTGCTTGGGCCTAAATGACAATCAATGTTCCTTAGAAAAATGAATGGAAGAATGGACTAAGTGGGAAAAAAAAAAAATATGTCAAAAGCCATTGGCTTTTTGACATCAAGTCTATGCTATCTGAAAACAGCAAGAGAAGAAAAGTGAAATTAATTATATTTTAATTTATAATTTAAATTTAGCAACTGAACAAAATGCTTAAACACACCCTTCAGAACGATATTAGTTGGTGTTATCTTTCACTTTACCCTTGAGGCAGCATAAACTGTGACTTTCCCTATCTGTCTGAACAGCCTCTCCTCTTGGCACTTAGTTTTGAACTATTGCAAGCTTCCTTTCATCTGCTTTAACAAAGCAAATTATGCCTTTCTTAGTCATATCAGAGATTTCTGCAATGGTTATTTTCTTAGCCTCTAATTTTTACTATGTTACTCTGCCCTGTGTCCACCTCTTCCCCTCTCTATCACATAGAGAACATTTGCCCTCAGTTGCAATATTTTATGACTGCAAACTCATAGATTTGAGCTCTAATAAGCCCTTTCAGACAACACCCTTTGCATCATCTCTTGACTTAGGTAAAGCTCACTGGAAACATGTACAAATCTAATATATAGTTTCCTTTCAAATTACTCCTCTTGGATATTACTTAGTACAAGACCTGGCAAAACCAGTAAAGATACTCAAGATACTGGTGTGCCAAGATCACTTGTTTTGATCCTACATAATGCCTCCTTGCTCCCCACTCTCTTTGCCATATGGAGATGGTAAACTGTTCAGGAATTTGGACTATGTATTTCTACTGTCTTTATACAGTACTGGTACCACCAGGATCAGGTATTAAGAGTACTGAAGTGCTACAGGGATATAAATAACAATAAATAAAGATGGTAGGTCTGTATTAAGCAATTCTACTGTACACATCATAATACTAGACCTGACTTTGCTTTTCTTCTCCTTCAGATCCTGCTGTGGTTTGATGAGATTATATATCAATATACTTCCTATATACTATACCTGCTGAGATGCCTTCAGCAGCCTAATCTGAGTCCTCTGTCCTCTTTAAATGATGCAGCACATCCTGAGCTTTCTGCTGTTATCATCAGAGCCACAAGACCAAAGCTGACTAACTTGAAGTTACCACAGAGAATAGCA